TTTCACATACACTACAATAAATTTTTTATAAATTTTTAAATGATTCAAATTTTAAATAAGCAAAACTTAAATAGAAATAAAATAAATAAAAGTTGGTTAAGAACGGGACGGTATGGACAATGAGTATCATATTGTAGGTCTGAGTGAAAATGAATGACTAACTTATAATTTATAACAATAAATACATCATTGAATTGCTGTGCTATGAGGTGTCATACGGGCACACCATTGCTCGGTAATGCCTCCCAATGGTCTGTAATTTCTCGATTGCGGCCATATTTAGCATCTCATTGATGACAACCATCACTGCATTCATAAGTGATAATCGGATTTCAAGACCCAAATAATCCTATTTAGTTGTGCAAAGAGTCCGGTTTCAAACACAGCGCATAACACAAACTTTCAGTGTATTAAATGAAATGAAATTAAATTATTTAATGGCCTTTAATTTGACACTCAATTCAGTTTCATATTTTACTCATTCACTTATTTTAGCCAATTTGCTAATACAGACAAATTGATTATCAAAATGTTATACTATTATTTAGTATACTAAACAACTAGTTATTTATATTAAATTAGATTAAGTTATTTAATATCATAATAAAATACTATTTAAAATTATAAATTATAAATTAAAATCAAAATTATTATAAATTATATTATTAAAACCGCATCTATATAATATAATACTAAAAATATTACAATAATTTATATATAATTAAAATTGTTATATCTATATATTTACTGTTTATCGATTTGTTTAATAAGAAAAAATAATAAAATTTAAGAAAAATGTTCATAATATAAAAATGTCGATTTTGTGGTTTTGTTTGAATTTTTATTAATCATAAAAAATGATTCGTTAATATTTCAAATAAAAAGTCTATTTCACAATATTTTATAATATTAAACTAAATTGTTTTTATAGATTTGTATTTTCTTTCATATTATTCATGCAAACAATAACTTATTTGAATTATTTAAAAAATATTATTATTACATAATATTTTATAAGCACTTCATTTGTTCAGTTTATGAGAATGTTATGATATATACAGTATATATACTGTATATACAATACATATACTGTATATGGTTTGTAATGCAAAAATAATAACAATATATGATGAGTGGAAATATTGAAAGTTTAAAGTCTGAATTCAAAGCAATTTAAAATTTATGATCATTTTTTTAGTGTAGATATAAGTAACAAAAAAATATGTGAGGACAGGGAGACATGAAATGAGCCAATCATCTCATTTAAGTAATATTAATGTGCGACCGAACGGTTGGCTAAACAATCCAATGGCAAGACGTTTGACACGACTTAACGGATCAACATTTAAAATCCAGTCATTTTTAAAACTTATAACAAAATTGTTTTTATATATAAATTGAAAGATTTATTACAAAAAAAGTATTAAAAATTGAAAACTCTTATTCAGTACAGCAGTTATGTTGAGATTATTTTAAAATCAAGTTTAATGACATACATTTGTTTTGATTTTCATCTATCATATAATAATCAAAATAAATATATTCCTTAAGATATAAAACTATTTTAGAGAATCATTAAAGAATTTAAGATATCCCACAAAATATAATGAAATGTCTACTCATTATATAATAATGTATTTGAATTGATAGCAATTTGCTATAATGTCTGTATTAATTTTAATATAAGGTATTTTATCTGACTTTTTATATTATATTAACGATAAAATCAAATGATAAAAGTTTGTAAAAAATTATTAGCTGAAAATATCAATATATATATATATATAATTTATATAAATGTAACTTTATAAAATCGTTAAACATAATGTTCAAAATATAAGCTAAAATATATTTTAACTTACTCAACTTTAATATATTTCATTTTTATTTACATTTTAATTAATTTAATACTTCAGATAAAACAATATAAATAAATGTATATATTAATTAATAATATTTTACTTTATTCCTAAAAAAATTATTTAATATATCTATTTTTATTAATTTACATACAATATATGCATTGTTGAAATTCAATCATATAAAATCTTTGTTTTATCATTTTATATTAAATGTTAAACTCTTTAATTATTTAGTTAAAACAAAAACAAAAATAATTAAAATTTTATTAAAGACATTATTAATAAATTATTTTGAACTAAATTATGGATAAATGTATTTTAAGCAAAATAGTTACAAAATTTGTTTTCAAGAAAATTTCATTATTTTAACACTGTATATAATCATTTGAATTATATAATATTATATTATGCTAAATAAAAATTTTATAACAAGAAAAAATAGTCACTTATGATTTGATAAATAATTTATATGCGTTTTCGCTAAATATAAAAAAGATTAAAATAAAGAAAATACAGAATAAATTGAAATTTAATTCCCTCGAAGTGTGGATAGAAATAGTATAGCAATAAAATTGAATGAGAAAATGAATTTTAAGGGTTAGTAAATTGCATGATAATAATCACCACTTAATCCTCAATATACGTATAAAACAATGTTTAATCAGAGTCTTGTTATTTGGTTTAGAAATGCTATAATTATTATGATTTGGTAGATGTGGTGTTACGACAACTAATGCTAAAACAATTCCCACAAAGATTACTAAATATATCGTTTAGTTGACTGTCTTATGGTTAGTCGTGAATTGGGATCACATAAATGAGAGCAAAATAATGTATTATTATTTATTATATAAGCAAATATACGTTTGCATTAAAGCACCTGAATTATGCTCCTCTTTGCACTGGGAGTCTGAGACATAGCAAGAGAGAGAGAGAGAGAGAGAGAGAGAGAGAGAGAGAGAGAGAGAGAGATTGTGTGCAGATGTGTACCAAAGAAAGTCATTCACAACAGGACTGATGGATGACAAGCAAAAACAATGAAGACGTGAAAAACCCGTTGGGATCTGAGGGGGAATTTGACTGAACTAACCATTAAAGCAGTGGTTGTCTACCAGTAATATAGAAAATGATTATATGAATAGTACTGTATATTATATATAGTTATAAATGTTATAACTAAGGCCTAACCTAACGGTGCCTTTGATGAGGTGACAGACAAATCATATAAAGACAAACTTATTTGATAAATGATTCCATTTTCCCTTTAATTTACAGAATAAATGCCATAAAGAATGAGTCCTTCAGATACTACAAGGCTTTCCATTCCGTCAACAATTGGTCTTAACTATAGAGCACTGGGATCTACTTGTCTTACATTCAACACATCATCACTATTTCAAAACTTGAACACAGGTTCTAAATATTTTACATTTATTTGAAAAATTCATTTCCAAAATAAAATCAAAGCAATGATTGAAAATTGACTAAAAAAAACAAAAACTTTATGTCCAATAATAGCCATATATTTATAAGCATTTCATAAATACATCGATAAATGTAAGCATTAATAGGATATTCAGATCATTGAATTTAATCATTTGATGAGTCCTGTGTTTGACCATTACTTTGATGTCATGAAATGCCGGAAAAATCCGTAGCGCACAGACATAACCGGAAAGTCAGTCATCACTGTTGTGCCAAAAATGACAGTAACGGCTAACAAACAAAAGTGGTGGTCTTTTTAGGCCATAACATATTAAAGTCCAGTATAATGACTGTCCGATTATATGAAAGTCCGAAATGGCTTTTTGTTTGTCTATATATATAAGTACTTATTGTATTGAATGCATTCAAAATAGCGTAAAATTCTTTATGGCCTCACTTTTAGGACATTCAATGGGAACGTCAATCACAGTAAGACAAGTGTCGAAAATTATCACTCAATCTATTCATATTATTTAATCATCAATAGTATGAACCATAAGAGTTAACTTTATAGACATTGATAACAATGCAATTTGTTTACACAAAATAAATAAAGTAATATAAATACAGTATATATTTAATAGAATAGATCATACGGTATAATACTATATATACTGTATATTTATATAATGTATTTATATTGATACAAGTTTTAGCAAAAACACAATAACTGCTAATAACAATGAGATTATGGCTAAAATATTTGATTGTTTAGTCTAAAAGAGTACATAACATAACATATGAAGTGAATGACTGTAAGTTTTCTGTGGGTATTCGTTACGGACTATTAATTTAAAGTTCCGGTCACTCAACACAATGGATGGCTATTTAGGAAATATAGACTTGTGTTTAGCACATTAAGGCACCAAATTTACTATATATATATCTAATAAAATATTTAATTTTTACAAATATTATTTTATTAAACAAATTTTGTAATCATAAATAAAAATTTATTCCTATAAATTTGTTAAATACAATTTAAAATGATATATTTATTGTTATCTGAATCAAACTTATTAAAAAGTATTAATAAAATGTTGTATTAAAATTATTTATTATTATACAAAATTATGTAACAAATGATGCAAATCTTAATTGCTTTAAATCAGATATCTTACAACTTTTGTAACAATTTGGACAAATATTAGATGATTTTATAGTAGTTTTAAAACACTTAAGACAACCAATAAAATAGCAACATATGGTTCGGTGGGGACAGTCTGATGGCTTTATATTACAAATCATACACTTATGACCAGTCAAATGAACTTCTTTTATAATAAGACAACAATTATATTGTTTAATATATATATATATATAGAAATCACGACAACAAAAATCAAACATTTTAACAATCATTAAGTCTTACAATTATTATTTCTATTGACAACTTTGAATTCATTCGATTCATTGATAAAACATTTGCTCAAAAGTATATGTCTTTGGTTTTTGGAAACAATTATTGATAAATCTAAAGATAAAATTATAATTACTGTAACAATTTGTTTAGTTTTTATTAAATTACAAAATAAATTAATATAACAAACCTTTTATATATTGACATCGAGTCTGTTGATCTACTTTTTTGAAAATTGCATTGAAATCCATTGAAAGATATAATAAATTTTTGTATTTTTTATATTTACGAATCGCTTCACACAAAAGGGTAAAATTATCAGTGCCTTTGAAAAGATCTTTAAGCTAAATAAATTTAAATATAATAATAATAATAATAATAATAATAATAATAATAATAATAATAATAATACGCTAATAGATTAATTTGATATTAAAAGTAGATTTTAGAAATTACTGTAAAACAAATTATACCTCTTTTCCATTTTTGCGCCAAAATTGCATCAATTGATCGCTTGATTGTGAATCAGTTTCTTTACTATTGGCATCCAATTGATTACTATTATTGTTTTGATTATCAGTTTGAATGGTGTTTACAGTTTTTGTGTCTATGATTTCGTCTTCATCTAAATCGACAACTAATGGTTCCAAATGAACGACAGTATTGCGGTCTTCATTCCAATGAACCTTTTTATCTGAATTACGTCCGGACTTAATAATTGACTGCAATTTAGTATTGGGTGAAAGATATTCACATTTTGGAGGAGTCTTTAACACATCTTCATTAGATTGCGATAAACTAATTGACTTAAGAGGAACAGTTAGTCTCATCTTTTTGATGGGACTCTCATTTATATCAATAACATCAATGGATTTTCCATTTGTTGATTTGTTCTTATCTTGAGTTTCCGTCTTTTTATTTGATAACATATCAAATATGCTTTTCTGTTTACTTGGCGTTTGATTGCTGTCACGAGTTGTCGTTTGAAAGGCTTTCAAAATCGTATCCTTATTATTAAAACCACCGCTTGAAGACCAAGTCTTAACTTCATTTTTAGATTTAAAGTTAGTTAATACCATAGATTTTGGTACAAATATATTATTATTATTATTGGCCGGCTTTACTGGATTTTCATTTATTTTATTATTATTATTAGCAATTGAATTGTGTGTTATACAAGCAAAAAATGACTCCAATTTTCTAATATTTTGATTGGCTTCAAAAGATCGAGTTTTATAAATAAACTTTTCAACCCATTTGGACAGTCCGTCATTAAGTGATGCAAATCTCGAGTCCAACAAAACGATGGCTCCGTAGTCGTCCTTATGTCGGATCACACGACCGATTGCTTGATTGAGAGCGCGTTTCATTTGTAATATATACCACCCGTCGGGAGACAATTTACTTTTAGATTCTTGCAAATACTGCTTTTTAAGTATAACTCTTGGATCGGCCACTGATGGAAATGGAAGACCAGTCATAATAACACAGCGGCAATAATCGTCGGGTAAGTCAATGCCTTCTGAGAGTTTTCCACGAAAAACGCCAAAAAATACGGCACCGTTAGATTGTGGCGCATCTATTTTCTGTCTATATTTAGTCATATTATCATTAAATGCTTGTTTACTTCTAGGTTCAAGAAATATTTGTTTAACAGCATTGAGTTTTTGCCAAATATTATTATTATTATTTTTCCAAACTTCGGTACATTTATTGAGGGCTGTATATGAAGAAAAAAATAAAAGAACTCCTTTGGGAACTGATTTCAATACATCGATTAGTGTGAGACCTAAAGCTCGATAATAATCTAAATTATCTCTATTGTCATACTTTGATGTCAACACAATTTTGTCATTAGATTGTGATATATTTATTATAGACAATTGATTTTCTTTAATTACATGACTGTTCTGCAATTTAACACCAAATTTAATATCCATTTCCAATTCAAATGAATGAATGGGTGCCAGTGTTCCGCTTGTTATTATCAAACTATGAATTTTAAACTCTTCGAGAGCTTTGGCGCCAATGCTGGGACTTAAACACCTTAAATAAATAACAATTAGGATTAACTATAAAAAATGATAAAATCAATTAACATCCAAATCATTACCAAACGTTTAGAACCCAATCATTGGGAGAACTCTTTTTGTTCCAAAAATTTCCAGACTTTTCCTCTTCAATATCAACTCCTTTTTGACTAAATATCTTAAATTTCTTAATGAATTCATTTTTATGTAATTCATAATTGCTTAAAGTTGTGATCTTAATGGGAACCAATCGGTCGACAAACGTACACATAGCATCGAAAGCAGCAGAAGCTGCCATTGATTGGCTGGCATTGATATTATCGCAACTAATTAATAGCATTAAAATCTTATTCATAATATCATTGAATTCCATGGCATAGGTCACGTCGAGTCCAGATCTTTCCATTATATCAAATATCTCTCTCGTGTCATGAGTTACTTTAGTCGTCTTTTTCTTTTTAATCATAGAATCGATGGCCATCTCGAGTTCGCAAACAAATTCTTTAAGTTTTATAACAGATTCAATCTGAAGTTCATTCAAGTCTTTTTGATCCAAACCATCATATGTTCCTTCATTTATTTGTTTCAATTTTTCAAGTATTGAATTGATATGTCGGATACAAACGGCAAATGTATGGGACCTGAGTTCTGTTGAAACACTTTCTTCACACATCTTCTCGATGTTGTGTCCCTCATCGAAAATAACCACTGAATTCTCTAATTCTAATTTATTTGCTGATCTGATTTGTGGATCTAATATATAATTATACGGTGCGAATACAACCGAAGCGCTTTGTTTGAGATGTCGTGAGGCATAATAAGGACAACAATTGTTTTTCTGTCCAATCGTTACCAAGTCTTCGATATCAAACACATGATTCACTCTAAAGTCAGGACTTTTTTCGACTTTCTCCTCATAATTGCGATAATAAGAGCACATATTGTTAAGTATTTTCAATCGACAGCTCTGATTCTTAGATGAAATTGTCTCCAATTTCATCACATCTGGATTAACACAGAGCTGATCTCTGGATCCAATGACAACAGCTTTGTATGACTTATAGGATGTCCTTTTAAGCTCTTTACACGCCTGAGCTAACTGTGAATGGGTTCTTGAGCTGTAAATAATTATTGGCAATTGTTTGTTTAATTGCCATCCATTGACAGTACTTGAAATCTCAGTATTAGAATTGCCATTCATTTTCTTGTCCATCAACTGCTTCAATGTGTTCAACCTCTGGGAGTCGAGCCATCCAAGAGTTGAACACAACAAACATAATGTTTTTCCAGTACCGGTAGGACTCTCCAGAAGACCATTGCATTTCTGTAATCATATTAACAATAAATTCAATTCAATTCAATTCAATTCAATTCAATTCAATTCAATTCAATTCAATTCAATTCAATTCAATTCAATTCAATTCAATTCAATTCAATTGATCCAAACCTGATGTAGACATGAGATGACACTCTTCATGTAATCCAATTGGATGTCATATGGTTTGAATGGGAAGAGTACTTCAACACCACTGATATTAAGCGCTTCCATGGATTGGAATTGTGTTTAATAAGTGAATCAATGGATCAATGGATCAAATAAAGTGTTTTTGACCACAATTTCAATGAATGCAATCTTTTCATTATTTTTGGCGCTTTTCTATTCTCTAACAAACATAACAATAATTGCATACAAATTACGGCCTAAAAAACAACGTAATTCATGTCAATTAAATCATATGCTGTTGCTATGCATAGTGTGTATAATATTGTATTAATAGTGTAAATGTAATGCATTTATACCAATAATACAGTAAAGTTTGCCATAGAATACCATAGAATGCCATTTATCCCATGGTTTCCATTGCGATCAATAGTGTTGTCAAACATTTTTCAATTTCCTATAATATTCCCAAATATTGCCAAATATTGCCATTCATTGCCATTCATTTATCCCAAATATACCGATAAAACTAATAATTAAGTGATATCTAAGAGATTTATGTTTTTGTTATAAATATTAGAACCAATATCTAATACGATGTCAAAAATATACGACAATATTGGTGTCGATATAATAAGTTTGGGATAACATGTGATACGGGAGTGAGTGTCGGGTTATTTGGGAATATGTTTGTCATTTAGTTATGTTTTTTGGTTGTGTTTGACTAATGTTAGTGTATTTATTGATGACTTGAATTAACCATCAAATGCATGGATCCAATGGATTGTGTCATCACTGGTGACATTGCATATCATGTATGGATCAGTTGAGTGTCTTATATGACTTACCATCAGTACCACCGATGCTCTCAATGAGGATCTCAGTGATGATCGTTGTGTACATCCATTGCATTGCAGACAATGTGCTCTCATATGATATGAGCACTGAATTCAATGAAATAAATGCTTTAATTGTTTGAATGACTGACTAATTCACAGCTGATTTCGGGACACAAGTGGACAACACTGAAGAAGACACGCATTGATATCAACCAACCATTTGATGTCAATATGCCATTGAATGACAATTTGAAACGATTGACAATTATTATGATTTTCAAATTGAAACAAAAAACTTAGATATATTTCATATTAAAAAATAATATATATTTTTCAAATGTTTAATTATAATATTAATGTTTATTTCAAGTTATAAATTATATATATATTTATTAAATTGTGGGTAAACTATCATTACATAGTATATATATATTTATATTTATCATATCTAATTAATGTATTATAAAAAACTCATTGATTACTATCAAGATATTGAAAATAAGTATATGATTTTCAAATTTTCAGATTAGTATATCATATAAAAGTATATAAATATATGTCATATATTTTTCATTGCATTAATATATTTGTTAATTGATTATCAATATATATATATTTGTAAAAATAATGATTACATAATAATTGTGATTTGTCAAGTAGTGAACATTAATAATAATAATATTAAATATAATTTGATTGTGATTGTGAAAGCCGTCAAATATATACAAACATAATTTGATTTGTGAAACAAAAGTTGAAAATCAAATAATAGATTTGATTATTGATTTGATTGAAGTCTTATATAACTTAAGTATATATATATATATATATATATATTAATTGACAGACATTTGGAGAGATCTTATCATTTATACCATATATTATGCTTTTAATTGTCTCATTTAAAAATAATCATTTAATTGGTTATATATAAGTTATATACATAAAATACTGTATATATATATATATATATATATATATATTCATATTGTATATATGAACAACAATTTAAAACTACTAAACAATTGCTAAATATTGACATTTAATTGAAATCATTGTTTATATCATACAATAAATATATGTAACAATATTGTCTCATTGTGTTTACCATCTCTTAGTATAGTATTTTCATTTATTATAAAATTAAATGACTATAAATATATAAATCAATTTAACGAAAACTATAAGTCTGTGAAAATAACTTATTGAACGACGTTTTATCAAACATTTGTAAAACTTCAAGTAATTTTGACTATTTATTTGCTAATAATTTGAAGTTTTATTAATACATTACTCAAAACTAATTATTTTATAAAAATTAAATTTTTATAATTGTTTTTAAGTGATTGATATAATTGTGTAATATATGTGAAAGTAAAATAATAATAATTTGAATTATATTTGAAATTATAATTTTAAATAGTTTATAATATGGATAATAATAATATAATAATAATAATAGTGAATATCAGACTGAAAGAGATTATTGAATTATAAATGCATTGAATTGTACTCTCAAAAGACGTCTATTTTTATTAATGATATCGTAGTGTAAGTTGATTAACAAATCTTATGATTAATGCATTTATTATAAGTTATATATTTTATTATATTGTCAAATAGCAGATAGATTTTAATATATTTTCCTATTAATACAATTTGATGATACTTTTATAATATTTATAATAATAAGTGAATAATATGTAGATTTAGTATAAATATATTTAAGAGTTGCATCCGTTTGGCGTTTAATTCAATTGTCGTTATGACAAAACCCAAACACCAAATCCTGTAATGATTTTCATTTAATATCCATTTTTTGTCTTTTTTTTGTCGCTATGATTTAGGCTAAAAGCTGTTGTCTATTGTATTATAACATAAAACAATGGCCTCAGCTATTAAAGGGATGGTCAGTAAAAATAAGATCCGATACCGATCTGATGGATTTGATCTGGACTTGTCATGTAAGCTAACATACCATTCATATGTCTTATTATAATTCAATTGATTCATTGATAGGATGCTTGCATTCATCAAAACCATTGTTTTCTATATTATATATAAATATTGTTTATATTATAGTAAACATTAAAAGTTAACTAGTTTTCAATTACTTGATATTTAAATAAATGTCAAATATGTAAATGAATTGATGTTTTCATTGATAGATATTTCGAGAAACATAATAGCGATGGGATTTCCCGCGGACACCATCGAGAGGTTCTACCGAAACCCCATCAACGATGTCGTCCGATTCTTTGAAACCAAACATAAAGATAGGTATCGGATCTACAATTTGTGCGCCGAAAGGCAGCGTCGATACGATACCTCGAAATTTCAGTGTCGTGTCAACGAAAGCTTCACCTTTCAGGACCACAATCCGCCGCCATTTGAAATCTTGAAACCATTTTGTGAAGACGTACACAAATGGTTATCACAGGACAAGAATAATGTTATTGCAATTCATTGTAAAGCTGGCAAAGGAAGAACTGGAGTAATGATATGTGCGTATCTGATTCACGCCGGCGAGTGCAACATTACCGATGAAACTGGATCTACCTTTAAGATTACTGGTGCCGACAAAGCACTGGAATATTACGGTCGTCACCGAACTCATGACATGAAAGGAGTTACTATTCCGAGTCAAAAACGATACGTCTATTATTATGAAGAACTAGTCAAGAAAGGACTTGACTATAAAGCAACTTCTTTGAGACTAATGTCCATCGATTTGACGACAATTCCCAACGTTAATAGCGGACAATTTGTATTGATTTGTGAAATTATTCAATTACCGAAACAAAAGTTAAAAACTTTTGAAATTGAAGTGAAAAAGAGCTTAAAGTTACTCAACTATACCATACCTGACGAACTTGTCTTTCGTGGAGACATTAAAATTGAATTTTTTATTAAGAGACAGTTATCTAAAGAGAAATTATTTCAATTTTGTTTCAATACCTTCTTTATTAAAAGTAGTGATGAAATGACAGATTGTGTTATAGGGACTAACCATTTGAATGATATTCAAAGAAATACAACTAATAACCATTCATTACATACAACTATCATTAATGGCTGTTCTAATGGACAGATTTATAGTAATGGTCGTCGACCTCATGATCGTAAAAGGTAGACATTTTGTGTATTATTTTATTTATATATTAAAAAATAAGATCAATTATGAATTAAAATTAATATAATTTTATTACTATGTTATGGGCCACATATCAAATTAAAGCTCTGACATAACAGCTCTATAACAGAAACTGCTTATGTATTATATATAATATTTTTTGGTTATAAAATATTAGATTCTGATATTACATAACTAACTATTGATGTCAAACTTGACATATTCTTTAGAATATAAATATATCAAAATTTACATACATTTTATGTTTAATTATATGTTATTCACAATTAATAGTATATCTTTATTTTTTCTATCAATTTTAATTTGGAGATTACATAATTATAATTAAATAATTAGCAAAAATATGTTTTTTCAATAAAATATAAATTTGGTTCATAAACTTTATAGACAATTGTTTTGATCTATTGAATCATTTTTTATCAGTCATTTCTACTAATCTTAACTTAACTTAAGTTATGACAGATATAATACATGAGCTCAGAATTGAGAGGTACTTATAGACTAAATGATGATCAAAGAAGATAAGTATGACTTGAGGTAAAATGTAAAAGTATTGTTGAGTTATTAATTCAATTGACAATTCATTACTTAAATAATTAGTTATTTAATAAAAATTAAACGATGACTAAAACATAACATAAATGTAATTTTTTAAAACTTCACAGTATTTAAATATATGATAATTTAGACAAATTGCAATTTATCAACAAAAACGTGGTTTTATAGTTCAGATTGAGTTTAATATAAAAATTATATCCAATACCTCCAAAAACAGTCGATTTTAAACTATAAGTCTTTCTTAAGAGTTGAATGTTTAGTCCCATTAAACAGCTTTCACTGTTAATTAGTGTTATTGAGATTAAATTTAGGCTAAAATTTAACCTTATTTTCATAATTTAATTTTCAAACTAAATTTCGACACTAAGTGCCATATATGTGAAATTGATTTATTAATAAAAAATGTTTAATATTAATTAATTTTTACATCTATAATTATTAACAAATAATTGGATAAAACAAAATTTTAGTAGTTTTTGTTACTTATCTATTAGTTTTATATTATGAAATTAGTCTTATTTTTATATCTGTTTTAATTAGTAAAAATAGCAATATTGAATTAAAATTAAATTAACTTTTTTGAAATATATTAAAATACATTTCAAAATTTCATTAAAATTTCTGAAAATTTAGCCAAAAATGAAATCTTTAAAAAATCGTTAAATTTGAGTAAATATGGTATAAATAATTATCAATATTGTTTTAAAATCTGATCTCTTTAACTACAAATTATATATACAGTATATAAATGTTATTTAATTTATATAATTTATATATGTTTTTATTATTAGTGGTAAAGAAATATATTTAGTTTTATCTAAAGACCAATTGGACAAAGCATACAAAGATAAACAAAACCGTATCTTTAGCTCAGACTTTAAAGTAAGTGTTTTTATATAATATAATACAATGTTTTGTCAAATTATCTAATGTTTGACTTTGTTTAACCTTAAGGTTCGGCTAACGTTTACAAAACCAATTCAATCATATTCTCCATCTTCAGAAATGATGCGATCAAATGATACCGTCGATAACGATTCTGATGACAATGAGTCGGACAATGAGACAGACGATGACGAAGATTACTCTGATTTCGATGAAGATTCAGGAGAACGGTCTTCAGGTTATCCACAGCAATAATAAACCAAATAGTCATCTATTGTTGTCGTTTTCAAAATGAAATGGTATTAAAGCATTGAAAGGATCTTCAAATGATTTTATCACAAATTCATGACATCATAAGTTATAATATAATAACTCTGTCACTGACAATACCAACCAAAATGTCTCAAAATTAATGACAGTTTAATTTTTTCTATTAATTAATATAAATATTTACATAAAAATTGTTAACACATGTGAAATTAGAAATAAAGGTTAAAATAAATTATATATGAAAAAATTATTTGTATATTTCAATAGTCGATATTTAAATATTTGATGCACCGATTTTTTTACAATTTATATATATATATATAACTAATTTCATGTAGATTTTCAATATTATGGTGCAAACATTTTAGATATTGTATTTGTTTCAATTGACTTATTATTACAATTTAATTATTACATTTAAAGGCGTTTCAGTGAAAACGATATTTATAATAATGCTATTATTTGTTACTTGAAATACACGTGTTTTTAGATGTTTTAGTTTCATTTTGGGTACCAATGCTTAACGATTTTGTCTGTTGTTGAATGATGTGTTTCGGTTGGGACCAAACCCTCCGCCAGCGCCGACTCCACTTCCAGTGCCCAAACTATTATTACCTCGAGGACCACCATTATTACCGCTTGAATTGTATTGGTTTCTATTTCTCAGACCAGACGGTCCAGTTTGTGATCGATTATCATTCATATTTCTGTTCATATTGTTATTGATTCGTCCGCCACCCATACCTAACGGTCCTCCCATTCCTCGATTCAAATTTCTATCAAAGTTAGATAAACCTCTTCCCGTTTGTGACCTTTTCTCCTCAACATTGAACCGATGATTATCGAAATAAATGGGCTTTAATTTGGTAACAAAAATAAATAGTTTCGAAGTCAATGATAATATCAGTTAATTAATTATAAAAAATAAATACCTTTTGTTTAAGAATGCTCTGAACAATGTCTTGACTCTCAAATGTAATAAACCCATAGTTCGGAGTTTTTGTATTAATTCCCATCTTTTGTTGGTTTTGCCGATTGATGCGGACATCAAGTATTTTGCCGTACTTTCCGAAAATGTTACGCAACTCATCCTCAACAATGTTTTGGGGAAGATTTCCGACAAACACTTGATTCTCATCCGGAAATTGCTTTTTCTCGCGATAGTCTCCATCATTGGAATCACTATCATTAGGACCGCTTCTTCCGGGAGTCATTTCGCGAGAATCATTCCTTTTATTAAAAGGAGGATTTCGACGAATAGTACGTTCCCTTTGTGGCTGACCAATGATTGTATTGTTCGGAGGTTTTCCGGGTACGGGAGGAGTAGGGCCACTAAGGTTATTACTTACAGCCAAAGGAGTAGGAGATGACTCAGTAGGTCTATGAGTGGTAACCGGTAGATTGCTTTCTGTCTTAACAGGTCCCGTATACAGTGTTGTAAAATACGGGTTCTTCGCAATTGATGCGTAAGTCTTAAGTTCTGGTGGTTGAGGAGAAGTCGAGTCGCGTGATTCCTCAGCTTTAAACTCTTCAATTGGCTGCTGAAACTCTTGAACTACTTCCGGCTCATTGACATTGATCTTCGATTCATTAACAGCGACATTATCCAAATCACTAGTCGGGGATCCATTGATACTATTATCAAACTTTGGAACCTCCAGTGATTCTGGAGGCACGGCATTGATTTCCTCCTTCACTTCAATTTCATCTCTTTCAATGGGCTTCAGATTTGGTACATCTTTCTTATCTAAGCCAACTTCAGAGTTCTTCTCCACTTCATTGTATTCGTCTTCATCACCGAAGATGTCGTCCTGATAACGAAAGATGTCATTTTTCGCGTAATACTTAGTCGATGACTGCGGAGCCAAAACAAATGTCTGCAAAAACTTGCGCATCGGTTGGCCGTCATTTGATAGCTCGCCGGACACCTAATTCGGAATAATATTTATCATAAATATTTGTTACTATATATTATATATTATCAATTAAATTAAGTACCTGAATGACAACTCCTTTGCCAATTGTCTCCATTGAATCCACTTGTCTGATCTTTGCGTGACAATCCTTGAAATTAAGAGACATGATCTTCTTGTAGATGTTTTCCTGTCCATACACTGGAACTGATACTTCACCCGGTCTGTCGAGACCTCCGTTCACGAATGAAGAGTCATCTGAATAAAACCTTAAATAAAATAAATAAATTAAAACATCAATGAAATTACTTATTAACCACTAAATGATAATCATGTGTTCAGAAGTGATATTGTCTGCACATTTTCAACGACTATTAGGCATTACAGTCACATCAGATGCAAATTACTTCATCACAACACATACAAAATGGCTGACAAAGCGGTGCTGACATACCTGTGCAGAAGCTGTGGCTTTGCGTGAAGAACCGTATAGTATTGGCGCACAAATTCACGGCCCACCGATTGCGGTGACGGCAGGTTATTGGTGTCGGTAGATAAAACATTGTTAGTGGTGTTGCTGTTTGTGTCCATACCACTAACCATTGTCCTAATGCGAGTATCACGTGTCGTATGAGATTAAGTGGTCAACAAAACCTATTCAATACAACCGATAAAAAACAAATCAAATCAGTCTTTTGTATTAACATTAATGTCTTTATTTGTGGCAAAATGTGTTCAATCAATGATATTAATAGCGCTAACAATGTGTTCATCAGATAAAACTTAGTCAATCAAAGACTGGGACCAAATCAATGGTCAGACATATGAGAGGGCAAGTAATTCATCATTTGCTTTGTCGACGCTATTCAATGGTATCTCAAATAAGGCCCACATATGGACACCATATCATTGATTCAAATCACGTGTTGACCAACAATAGCAACATTAGTGGCCAACACGTGATACACACAATACAGCCATTTATGTAAAACATATCAAATGTTTAATTGTATTACCGTTTAAATGATAATTGCATTTAATAGATGTTTCAGTTTCTTATAATTTATTAAAACTTATTATTATTATTAAATACCGTATAATATAAATGTTATAACAAAATAAATAATTAATATAATAAATATGTTATATAAATATAATATACTAACTGTTTGACTATAAATGAGACAAAACAAACATTAATACATAAAAAATTAATAAATTTTGGTTTTATATATATTTAAAAAAATGATTTGAAATTCAATTAAATTGAGACAACAATTGATTTATATTTGATTATTACAATTGAATTGTTTATTGCAATCAATGAATGCTTTTTTGAGTCAAACAACAAGTGAATGAATACACCTCTCGTTTGTCACACTATTTAAAAGCACTTTTGAGCCCTTATTTCACACAAAACTATTGGTTTAATACAGACTAATACTATAGTATAATATAGTGTATACTCTATAAAGTCTATTCAATAGTACAGTAGTGTTGTATTAAAACATATTAAACGCCGACAAAAGCGCACTAAAAACACGCACTCATTGCCTATAATACATCAATATTGCACTCAAAACACATATATAGTTACATTAATACAAACAATTCAATACATTCAATGACAAAATCAGTCAAATTATCAGTCAATGTAATGTATAAAACAATTTGTCATTTAATTGATGAAAACTTTTACCATTCAATCAAAATAATGGCCACAATTAACACTACAATTAGTTTGTATCGTAACGTTGTTTGTGTATAGTTTGTGTCATCCATTGTGGCTAACATTTGGACCAATCATTGCAAAACCGCTTCAATTGGCATAACATTTGTTCATAAATAACGTGACATTTGAAGTAAACCACAAATGAGTCAATTGTTAGACAATGTTATACTAAACAATGCATTTAACCATCACTTGAATCAATCACACAAATAGACATTATTTATGAATTATGTTTATAATTAGCACCACTTTTAGAGCCTATAAATAAAATTTGAGCCAAAATTAAACAAAATTAATTGATTTTTGCCATTCATTACACAATTTAAACATTTATTTAATTAATTTGCAAACAATTACACAAAATATATGCCAAACAATAGTTTATAAGCGATTTAATTGTTGAAAAAAATCATATTTGAATCCATTATTAAAGAGTACATTCTATGTATAAAATTTGTAGACTTCGACACATTATATTGTATTGAAATGATCGACAAAACTAAACATAAGTATAGTTAGTGTTGTGTTTAAAATAATCGACAAAACAATCGGCTCTTCGATGGCTATCATTAAGAGGACACTCAAGTAAGTGATCATCAATTGATCCAATGGTTATGTCTTATATCATCTCATGAATCAATTGATAGGTACGGGACAGCTGTCGGTATCACATACTTAACAATTGAACAGAGATTGTGGTCTCAATTGAGTGAAAAGCAAATCAATGACAAATTATCGGTTGTCAGCAAATGTGGACAACAAATGTCTTCATTAGTCACTCAAAAGACTGGTTTTGATGTGAATAAGTGGACCAATTGTGCCACATGTGAGGTAAGGTATCAACACTTGTGATGATTGTATTTATTAATTAATTATCAAATTGTTTTGCAGTCGTTTGATTTGAATAGTGTGTGGAACCGATCGGTGAAGACTGTATTCACCAGTTTGTCAACAATTCATGTGAAGGACTTGTACTCAAAAGTTGCCAAATATATTGATAGCAAATAATAATAATAATTATTATTATAATAATCTAGAAAATGATTTGTGGCTTAATTTTATTTTAGTATTACTTAAATTATCATATATTCATATTTTATTTTAGTTGTTATTGTAGTTATATTTAATTAAATAATTGATTAAAATGTATAAATAATAACAAAACATAAATTTGAATATTATTTTACTTATATGGTATTAATTTATATATAAAAATTATATTTAGCTCTACCGGTAATATAATACAGTATTGAACAAAAATATTACGGTAGTTATACAATAGGTATTACTGATAATTGATTTAATGCATAAATAATAAAGTACTGGTAAAACAGTTTTAATAATATGATATATACTATAGTAAGGTATAACTCTTATATGAATATCAATGTATTAAATATTTTTTAATTAATTTAAAACAATTTTCTGATAAATGCTAGATTTGTTTAGTTTTTGTTGTTGTTGTTAATAATCTTATAAATGATGTTTGATTAGCTTAAAAGTTTGAGTCAAAAATTATATTATCGTAGATTACCTATAAAAACAATATATGATATACAGTACTTGAAATATTTATATAATTTTTGTTATAAAAAAAGTTGACATATTTGTGAGTCTATAAAGTGATTAGAGTTAACTGTGATAACAATTAAAGTAAAAGATTAATTGATTGTTATTATCATAATATTTATGACAAAAGTAAATGTAATCCAAAATACAAAGTGTTTGAAAACAATTGGCGGCCAAAAGCCAAACACTTTCACACAATATTTTGTTTCATTCAATTACATGTATAGTACTGTATATTGTAATTTGCAAACAATTACTACAAATTATACAGTAATACAATATAAGACTAAGTTATGCCCAACAATGCTATCATAAATTGAAAATAAAATAAATTTTAAAACATATAATATATACAATATTTTATCCAAATTTGAATACTTTAGATATAATATCATAGTTTTTATTTGTATGAATAACCCTAATATTACGGTTAATAATATATTAAAAGTATTTAAATTGAATATAATGTTTGAATCAGACATCCGATGCCTACTATTTGTAAAATTAGTCGATAAATGATATGATTGTTATATAAGTAATGGTTTGCCAACACCTGTATGTCGTGAGTGGTCTGACATATGGCGGGCGTTGGTCTGTCCGGTCTCTTATTTAATGAAAAATGCATTCATTATTAATACTATTATATTCTGTATAGTATTGACAGTACTGTTACTATAAATTTATATACCTTTACAGTACAATACCTATACCTATCCTTACCTATAATACTATACGGTATATAACTGTATATCATATAACACTATAAAACGTCTACATTAATCATATTTGATATGAATTTTCACCTCTAATACTACTATTATTATTAGCCGTATAATAGTATAAACTTTAAGTGATCATAAATAATAGCATAATATATGTTACACTAATTTATTATTAGTTTTATTATAAATTTCATGTTTTAATAACACATATAATAACACATTAAAGGTTACACAATATAATAGCCAAAGTATTAGTCCCCCTGAGAGTCCCCTTTACTATAGATTTATATTAACAAATGAAAGTGTCATATATTGTCGTATAGATAGTCAATGTATGTACATATAGGTAGCCTTAATAAGTGTATATATAATGTATGTAATACTGTATGTAATAATAATTACTAATCCATCAAATTTTGTTGTATTCATAAGTTTGCTAACAATAGTGTTGTTAACTAAATATTACAGTTTATTGCAAACACACTTTGGTTGCCATTGGAAACAATCAAAGTGTAAACACAATTTCAGATAAGTAATACAAATATGTTGTATAGTAGGGGACAGTCGTGTATAGTAATTGTATATGTGTTGGGGTACACACTGTTGTATTGTTGGTAACAGTGTTGTGTATGTTATATGATTGTATGGTCGAGACAATCGATAGCTGAGTGTATGTATAGTATGTATAGTATGTATGTATGTATTACTCCATAGTGTGCTAACACAGGGCAACACAAAACAATTTAGAGTTTCCTTGGAATTCACACAACTGTTACCACATTTGGGTCGTTAAGGAACCCAACTTAAGGTAAGTCTCTTAGCAGTCATTATATGTGCCATAACTGAGTGACAACAACGAGACAAACACTTTGACATCAATTTTGCCGTACATTTGGCCAAACATTTTGTCGGACAATGTTTGTCATTACAGACAACACCAACACATCCAAGACATGCAACAGAATAGCACACCAAACAACACGACGACCACATCAACCATCACAACAAACAAGTCATCGGCTGATCACACGACAGCACTGGCCGTTTCGGGTACAGCATCTGCAGCCATCAATTCGTTGGCTACCATGAAGTCTGATTTTAACACAAGTGCCGCCTCAGTCCAGGCGACCACAGCCCAAGTTATCACAGTTGTGGCCCCGACTCACAACACGACAGCTCACGGTATGTGTAATACAACACCTTTTAATATAATTATTTGTTAATTATATGAAATGTCATCCATTTTAGCCAACAATCTGATCGCAGGACAGCCGGTTGTCGTACAGGTGTCGAGTGGCGGCCAATTCATAGCTGTTGCAGTTTCGCCAGAAAGCACTGGACAAGCGAGTGGTGGCCAACAGTCAGGTAACACTAAATTATGATATGATTTTAAACATATTAATATATATGACATTAATTATTAAATATAGATTCAGCGACAGTAGCTTCGGGTGCGGCCACAGCTTCAGCTGATGAAGACGATGGACAGTCGGGTTTCGATGACTTTTCCACTTACACTAATGGCTCTAATTCAGGACCGCAGATGTATGTCCAGTATATGATGTGATTAAAATTATTGCAAAAGATATCATTTATTTTGATTACTTTATAGGACTTATTATACTACCGACTCATACACGACTGCAACCGCTTATTACAACTCAAGTGTAAGCATTTGTTGTCATTGTTTACAACTTATAGTTATTTTTTGTATCACTTCTAATATAATGCAAACACATGTACTTTATATATAATATAATATTTTGTGACCCATTCCTACATTTAGGGAGTGAACCAAATATTGACAGATGGAACATACCTAGTGATGGAACAAACAGACTCTACACTGACAGGTGTTTCTGGAGCACAGCGCACATCACCACAAACAGTGAGTCTTATTATCAAATCATTAAAAAAACAATTTAACTAATTATTGCATGTATTTCGACTAAACAAATCTAATATGCTTTTAATATTTATCATAAAACTAACAATAATTTCAATTAACAACTACTGGTCCACGTTTTGGACGAGGATTATAAACAGTTACTAACTCAACAACAACAGAGAATATCAGTTCAGCCGCAGACTGTAAGTGCCAACACATGTCTAACATTTTATTAATCCAAAAACCGTTTTCAACATTATATGATATCTAACATTAAAATTTTTATGTCTCTTATCTATTAGTGTTTTATCTAATTTTTTATATTATTGTTATATTATATATCAATAAATTTTTTTCTTATTTGCTTTTATTACTTGACATTAGCGGCAAAAAGATATTTATGTTGAAAAATGAGTGAAATACTTGAGTGAAAATTAATTTATATCAAAATTATTATTTATTTATTCATAATTATTTAATATGCAAACTAACAAATTATTTTCTTTATTTTATTAGAATATCAGTAATTATATTACCATTTATTAGGCGTGTTTTGTAAATACAGTTACCATAAAATATGTTTAAAAAATAATTATAAAATTTAATTGCAAAAACAGATTTACATATTAGTGTGTGAATGAATGATCAAAATTGTTAGAAAAAGTTGACTAAAAAATAGCATTAAATTATATTTTTATGAAACCTTTCACTTCTCTTAACGCAAACATAAGGATAAACAACAACTGCGAGCACACGAAAGCCTTCAATCAAACCTAAGTAGCGCTTCATTACTAATAAATCCTTTTACTCTTCAAACTGATCCGCACAACACATGTTCACCGACGACCACTACTGCTATCTGTGCCTCTATTAAACCCAATTGTAATCAACAGCAACATCAAAATGTTCGCGATATGGATATCGTTCACGTAATGCCATAACATTTGCTCTAACTTTCTATTTAATTGTCTTATATTGTCTTAAAAAGTAAAATTTTAGTTTGTTTTTCTTATCATTTGATCCAACAATTAATCCATAAACTAATTGAATCCGTTTAATTGATACAAAGTTTATTTAATGACTATTTTTTGTAATTATAGGTACAATGGCTTATTGAGAATTATGAGACAGCAGAAGGTATTGTTAAGAAATTGCAATATATTTGAAATTATTATAAGTATATTGTTTTCAGGTGTATCACTGCCACGCTCTACATTGTACTCCCATTATCAGCAACACTGTCAACAGCACAACATAGAGCCCGTAAATGCCGCCTCTTTTGGCAAATTAATTCGTTCAGTATTTATCGGTCTTAGGACACGACGTCTCGGCACAAGAGGTATTTGATTAGGTCTAACATTACAGGTATTTGTATTAATATATTATATTAAATTCATAGGAAATTCAAAATATCATTACTATGGTATCCGTGTTAAACCCGGTTCGCCATTAGCCCGACTCAATGATATTGGTTCTACTGTTGTAGGATCGGAGTCAACTCCTCCAGCAAAAAGAGCCAAAACTAATTCTAATGCAATTGGTTTGTACCGTATATTTAAAACAATTTACAGTATATTAACTAATATTTATTATTAGGTTCAAAGACAATAACCAATAATACATCAGATAGTCATCAAAGTGCAGTGGCAGCCGCCTCTCCTGAAGTATTAATTGCTTATTTAGGTATATATTAACCATTTAAATATTTAGCATTAAATGATGAAATAATTTTTATATACCGCTAATTATAATAATGTTTAGGTGACGCAACATCTTTATTGAAAGATGTTTGGCCAGAGATTTCCGATGGTTTGAATGAAAACGAGAGAATAAAGTTTACATCAATTTATAGATTACATTACGACGACATCATAAACGCTTTGGGAACACTTCAGTTTAATTCAATTGAAATTATTTGGCAACAATTTTGGCAGAAACCGGATAATAGTGATAATAAAGATGGTTTGAACCGATTATAACAATAAAACGATTTTATTTGATATTAATTTATGTTTTTATTACTATTAGATGGGATGACAATAACACAAATTCAAAGTCTGATATCAATGACAGCAGACGATGAGTCAATGGGAAGACTAACCGATTGGATCATTGAAACCGATTACAAGATGTATAACGCACTCATATCTTCACTATTACTTCCAAATCTCTTGAGACCCATTCCACAGAACCTAACGCAACAAATTAGAAATTTTGCCAAAAATATCAATCAATGGATGACTAATGCTTTAGTTGGATATGACGGTACACTTAATAAATTACAGTAAATTTGAATTATTTTAATCTATAAAATTTTTAGAGGAATTCGTTTCGGCCAAAGTTGCAGCTGTCGGTGCTTTTAGTCATACCCTTAGAAGATATACTTCTCTTAATCACTTGTCATCAGCCGCCAGAGCTGTCTTACAAAATCAGCAACAAATTCAACAAATGATTAATGATTTAAATCGAGTTGACTTTAAAAATGTTCAGGTATCTATTTGTTTATTTTATTTGTTTGATTTGATGAATAAATTAATTTAATCCATTGACCAGGAGCAGGCCAGTTGGGTTTGTCAATGTGATGATGAATTGGTCGAACAGATTGAACAAAGTTTTAAAGTATTTTATATAAATATTAAACAATTTATATTAATAAAAATAATAAATAAATTGCTTATTAATTATTTGATAGGCTTTACTACAAGAGAGTAATCCGTTTGACAAATGGGGCGTTTGGTGCGAACAGATTCTGGATCTCTGTTTAACTGATGATGACGTACGGTCTGCCACTCAGTTCTTCTTCAAATGGGGTTTCTATAGGTATAACATAAATCGCAAAATTTACATCTTTTACATAATTTTATATAATTTAATATTAATAATATTTAATATTATTTTTTAAACAGTTCTCTAGTAATGAGAGATTTAACTCTTCGGTCGGCCTCATCGTTTGGATCGTTTCATTTGATCCGACTTTTATATGACGAATATATATTTTATTTGATTGAACACCGAGTGGCCAAAGCCACTGGAAAGACACCATTGCAAGTGCTCGGAGAAGTAAATATTTGTTTATAAATTTAAATATATAATTAAGTCTAATATAAAACTGATATATATTTTTAAAGGCACGAACTTTGAGGACCAGGAGCTTAATTGACATAAATACTGGACAAACAAATGCTAATTGAGCTCTACTACTAAGTATTATATTGTCTACATAAAGATATTATGTATTGTTAATTTTATTAATACTTTTTAATACCATAAAATGTTAAAAATTTCATGTAATATATTTTAACTCAATAATTGTTTAGTCAAACATTTTTCAAGTCTTTAAAATATTTTTAAGAACCACGAAATATACATTTAATTTATTCATATTTCACTTATATATATATAAATATGAGAGGATTTATCAGAAAGTTTGTAATTTATTAAATTATATTCATTTGTAAAACAAATATTGAAAACATTTGTTATACAAAGATATATACAATATATATTTTCACTTAAACACACAATTGTATAGCATTTTTTGAATTATTGACAAAACAAAGCAATTTTTAAATTAAACTAATTATATAAGTCAACAAAAATGACCTTAAAATATATGGTTACTTATTTATATTAATAGCTAAATATTTTAATTTATTGCACTAATTTGTCATTTTTCAGACATCATTTTAAATTTATAAATTGTTGATAATATAAAGAAAAACATTTTTTTTATAGTATAAGCTTTATTTTTTCTAAAAGAAAAACAATTTATTCAAATCAATTATATGCGAACACATTGTCATTTCATTTTTCATTCATTTGTTTTGTTTTTGTAAATTAAATGTACTTTCAGTATAAATGATTTAAAATAAAATTGTTTACTTTGTTTTTTATGTAACTTTTTAACATTAATGGTACGATGAATCTGATATTTTTTTGAACAGATCAATACATTACCTTAAAATATCATATTTTGAAAAAATTGAATGAAATAAATAAAAAAAAATAAGCAACATATCATTTGAATGATTTTTTTATTTCATTATAAATATATTTAATCTATACTACAATGAAATGAAATAATAAATTTTAATGAGTGAAATATAAGTACCGAAATCAAGTACTTTTTTTACTTGATTTTTTTTTTAAATATATATATATTTATATATAACAACAATAATCCAATAATTGTTTTATTAAGTTATTTACTATAAGAGAGGTTTTCCATTACATTCATTGTTGTGTTTTATGATTTTATTTTTTTCAAAACTTAGGATCGCTTTAGCAATCATTAGGTATTACATACAATATATATCAATAAATATGCACCGGAAGAGATACCATATAGTATTACTATATATTTATTGATATACTAGTATGTCATACCTTCACAGATACTAAAAAATGCATTGTCTTATTTTGCATATAATGTACAGCAATATATAAATTATAAATGAAAAAATCACTTTTTAAAAACTTTTAGTTTTGGTTTACTTTTTGACAGAATTTTAATTTACAATTTGTATATTAAAAAGAAAATTTTATTTTGTGCTCAAAAATTTTAATGTCACTTTATTTTGTTTGTTTGTTTGAAAATTAAATTAAATTTGTATTTTATTATTAATTTTTTCATTTAAATCAATTAGAAAATAAACTCAAATTTTGAATATAATAAAAATAATAATACAAAAGAAAATACATTAATATTTGTTGTTTTTTGGCAGTGAGACACAAATATGTAAAGCATTACTTAAAAAATAAAAATAAAATATATATATTAATATAATAATAAAATTTATACAGATACTAAGAAAAAATATACAAATTAACTTATATAAGAAAATTTTCATAACAACTATTTTGACAAATCGAGGTATTTTTGTATGTAAATAATATATATATATATAAAGCATTTTTAAAAATTATATATAGTATAACTGTACAATAATTAAAAGTTGTTGTTAGTGTCCAATTTATAAGCAATTTTATGAACAATAATACCCTCCCTTTTAATCTATCACAAGACAATAGAAGACATTACAATATAATAATAGATAAGAAATTGCTGTTTTAATAGTAATAATTTGTTTCATATTTTAAAAGTTTTTTTTATAACAGATTTTTGTATGTTTTGTAATAAGTAATAGTAATAATACAATAAATTTTTAAAAAATTTAGTTGTGTTTTATCTGAAAAAAGGGAGACAAATGAGAAACAGAGACCAACTTTTATACAAAAATGAAAATGTTTTGCAACCTTTACAGTGATTTTCATTTTGTTTTTTATTTATTTATTCATTTGTTTAATATAATATTTTAATGACGATTATAGTGTATATTACTGTTTAATTAATGGTCATTATAGTAATAAATATAATACAAGTCATATAACATATACACATATAATAATAATAATACAGTATTTTGAAGTAACTGTAATGATATTGCTTTTGGTAGTAATGTTCTAAACGCTGCATCAAATGGTAAGCAAAAGCTATTCAGTGCTCTAATAGCGGGATATATAAAGTGCCTAAAAGTCAAAGGAAGCGCTTCTCTTATAAAACACTAATTTTTTAGTCAAATTTATAGTCATATATATGTATATATATATATATACAGTATATATAGCTGTCGATAAAATGTTGGTATTTTAGATGACTTCTTGTGTTTCTTCAATGTGTATCAAATCTTTGGCTTACTTTGTGTTACAAAGGTTTGCGCGTTTAGAGACTGTTTGACACTAAGTATTGGCTGTCTTTTCGCTACTCAATCGTTGATTCAATTTTATGTTATTTCCATACCTTTCTGTACATAACTATTATATACAACAATCAGGTCATTAGGAAATGGCTTTTATGACACAAATCTAATACAGTGACGACTTGAGTAACAATTCAATTCATTGATAATGTCTGTCCATTTCAATATAGCTGCTCATCAATCAGTTAATCATTATATGTATTCACAAATTGTCGATCATTTTGGTCACAATTAACACTAGTTTATAGCGAAAGTCAATGCATAACAACATAACAACTATTTATCATTTGTTTTGTACAATAATTTATAATTAATTTATATAATATTAATAATATTTATATTAATTAGTAGTAAATAGTATTTTTATAAACGTAATGACAATTAGATTACGTTTCAAACAATGAGAGTAAGTCGTCGTTTACTGAAGAATTGTTGGAACTGATTGTACTTCCGTTGACAACTGTATTACTTAAGGATGAGTTGCCAGCGCTTTGTTCTGGAGTATCCAAATATGACAATAACTCCATGGCATCGACACCATTCTCGGGTAACAACTGTGTAAATATTTCAATTCATTAATTAACTATCAAATCATAAAAATATGACAAATCTTACGTTAAGAACTTCTTGGCCCTGACCCTCACCATCAATGATGGCCGCGGGATCAAAGTTGAGATCACCCAAATCATTTGAATGAGATATCGATGAATTATTTGATTGTGTGCTTGTGTTATGATTAACTGCCTCAACACTAGCCGGACCTGTTGATGGAGTTACACTCGGAGGTCCGCCAGTATTACCGGCACCGTTGGGTGTATGGGGCGTATGAGGAGTATGAGGGGTATGAGGAGTGTTAGGTCCGCCATGAGTTACCATTGATGATGGAGTGTTAGGTGTATTTGGTCCGTGGCTATTGTTGTTGTGCACCGGAGGCGCTGTCGGTGGATGTGGTGTAGATGGGGTGGTGTTACTCGTATTATTGTTGCTGTTATTGTTATTGTGCGACATTTGTCTGTTAGTGACACCATTATCACTATTGAAGGCGGGGGGGCCCATATGCTGCTCGTGATGACTCAAAGACTTCTCCATTGCTGCGATCGGGTCTAACATACTTTCGTTGCCGTCATGTGATAGTGGAGTGAAATCGGATGCAGAAGAATGAAAATCAAAGCCATTTACTAAACCAGAGTTGTTGTAGCCATTCATCATCGGACCGTTAGATACAGAACCGTTGGCTATCGCTAATTATATCATAATTTATTAAATTAAAAATCTACTACTTTTTATGTATAAAATTTGATGACATACTATTCATATCTGGAGTGGGTATTGGATTATATGGTGACAATCCCTGTCCCATTTCCCAAGAGCTTGATGTCGGTAAAGTCATACTTGAAGGAGACATGGGTTTGAATCGTTTCGAAACCATACAGGGATCTACTGAGTGATAGAATAATTGTAAAATTTATAATAATAACAGATTTCAATACATACTTCCGTCGTGTTCTTCTTTAAAACCTTTAGTGTGGAAGGGTTTCCAAGAGGCCGACGCATCGATTGTCACTTCATCGCAATCACTGGCACCCGGAGTCGTCAATATACTCCATATGTACTGATCAACTTCGAGGCCGTCGAGAACAGCGGGTTTATTGCAAACGGGACACCTCCAGGACCCGCGTTCACTGTTTAGTTGTAAATAGGATTCCAAATCAAAGCACTAAAACAAACAAAATTATTAAAAATTTCAATTTAACAATAAATTTACAATAAGATGATTACCTGAACGTGTTTACAATCTGGTCCTCTGGCGGGTAATGTAATCCTCTTGAAAGTAATGGGACACTTAAGAGAAACTTTGATAGCTGTTTGTTCGACCCCATCCTCGACTCCAATTCCTGTTGGATTACTTTGATTTGTCGGAAGAGCGCCATTCGTAAAGTTTCTCTTAATTTTAGTAACGCAATGATCAAGTGGTAGAAGTCGTTTACGAAGTAAGCCTTGAAGTACAGACTTGACTGTTGGTCTGTGAACCAGTTGAAGGAGAAATAGATGTGACTATAAATTTAAAAATTAAAAAACAATATAATTATTGATAAAATAGGTAATCATATCGTTTAAATATCATACACAACAACAAGCAGTGACAGTAATCTGAATCATATTCCTGCCCGCCTGACACACTTCTTTCAAATGTAACGGTTTGTGTGATGTCTTGTTCTCTCCTCTATCGATGACAAGTGGTGTGGCGTTGACAGACACCTGAACAGATGCCGGCCAATTGGTATTCATTTGTCTGTCTTCGTGATGAAAGCACTTGAGCTGAAGCTCGAGGTCTGAACGCCACATAAGTGTCTCGTGAACTGTTGGCTTGAGATGGAAGACATGGTTACTGACGGCGAGGTTGTGTTCGAGTCTAAAGGGGGCTAATATGATTCCGTCGCGGACTGGAAATGTTAGCCTAAGCTCTTCATCTCCTAATAATTTAGTAATAAATCATTAATTAACTAAAAAACAAATCAAAAGCAATTTAAATTCAAGATTTATTACTTGTCTGCAAACGAGGTTTTATATCTGGAAATGAGGGTTTAATGTCGTTTGTAGGGGATAAATATGGGGGTATATTAGATGCCGGTGTTAAAGGGGGCGTTGGATTGCCAGGAATGGGTGAGTGTTGATAATTATTGATTGTTCGGTGAAAGTTATTTGGATGAGAGTATTGAGAAGTGCCATAGTTTTGATCGTATTGTGATTGCGATTGTTGTGACACATTGTGCGATGGATTCATTGAATTCATTGAATTATTTACTGACATATTATTCATATTATTGATGTTATTAATGTTATTCATATTATTAATGTTATTCATGTTATTCATTTGGCCTCCCTGTCCAACCTGTCCAATCTGGCCATAGTACTGATTTTGATACTGTGGTGTCTGTCCTCTTATAGTAGCTTTCATAGGTTGTTGGACTTGATTTTGGTAATTATTGGCCGAAGAATTATTCATTTGTTGAACCGATTGCATAGCGGGATTGTACTGCTGTGGCTGTGGCTGTGGCTGTGGCTGATGGGATTGTTGTGGATGTGAATGCATTGATTGCATGCCTGGCTTATTATATTGCATTCCTTGATTAGTTGAATACTATATAACAACGTAATGACATTTAGTTAAGTAATTAGCGGTAATTAATAATTTGACGAAATCATCACTTACTTGATTTGAATTGTAAGGAACAGTTGATTGTGATACTGAACCATATGATTGCATAATTGGTCCTGAAGTGTATTGTTGAACATTTGCATTAGTTGTATATTGTCTCTTTTGAGTCATATATTGTTGCGGATTGTTAGGATAAGGACCAGGTCTCTGTGCTCGCGGTCCTCCGCCATACATAGCAGCTGATGGTCCTGTCATTTGTGGCATTGACTGAATGCCATTATTCATAGTCTTATTGATAACCATCGGACCATTAATAGGCATCGATTGATTCATATTATTAGTAGTGTTCATCATATTTGGATTATGCATTTGATTGGACATTGAGTTCATATGTCCAACCATTGCATTATTCATAGTATTTGGTGGACATGAGTTCATCCTTTGATTGTTTTGTGAAATATAAGTATTATTTTGATATCCCTGTCCATGCATTCCTTGCATCTAATTATTTAATATATCATTGATTAGTGAAAGTTATAAATTTACAATTACTTTATAATACCTGTCCGTATTGTGGATTCATAATAGCCTCTTGCCTTTCTTGCATAGCAACAACACTGGCCGTTGCAGTAGCCGTAGCGGTAGCGGCGGCTACCAGTGCTGCTGTACTTAAAGCTGACTGACCGCCTTGAAAGTCACCGTTAGCGCCGTTGGTTGCTGTAGACATAGGAGTGTTCATACCGGCCGACATGGCTGTAGCCGTGGTCTGTGGGCCGTATCGGTGGAAGTGGTCGGTCGGTGATGACGACTGTTGTTTCCTTTTGCGTCTATATTTAGCATTATATTATGATTATTATTATTACGTTATATAAACATAAATAATATTTACATAAAGTTCTAAACTAAATATTTTTATGAAATTAGTCCCAAAAAAATTATCTCAAATATGACTTAAGTAGAAAAGCAGTCAATGTTTGAATTGAGTGTCAATTATAGGGACGAGAGCTCAGGTATTTGTTTCAATTTGTGAGGTCGACTAGTAATGCAATGTTAACTTCAAGGTTGTCCACGGCATGAAAATTTGTAGCAGGTACATTTCAATTTACTAATTTCATGAATGCATCAATTTATGAGTTTTTGAGAGACCCCTGAGCTCTGTGGCAAACCTCACACCTACCTCTACCTACTCAGGTAACTAAGTTAAGTCGTAAGTCATAATTCATAAAAACGCTTTAAATAATTTTGAAATCAAATCAGAAAAGTGATCAAAAAGCTCTCAATTTATCTCAATTAATGTTGTGTGTAGTGTTTGCTTAAACTAAATAGCATTTCAAGTATAATATAAGTCAAATAACTAAAATCAATATATTAGTTGTCAACAAATTGTCAAATATTTCAAAATGTTTAAAGAAAATGAATAACTATTAGCTTTATATTAATATATAAATTACATAAACATTATTATAATGTTTTACACAATATTTATCTATTATTTAAATAAATTATTAATATACTGTTTGATAAAATATTTTTACGTATCTTAAACTTAGAAGCGATAAAAATAATGAATTTCAAAGTATTTCAATTATACTGTAGTGTAGTTTATGACATAATCTCATTATGTAATTGTATTAAAATAATTGAAGGTAAATGAATAATAGTGTGTGAAATGAACTCAACTAACCCGGCATATCCTGGACCAGACTGTCCTCTTTGAGAGATAGGTTGTGTTTGGTAAGACTTGTGTGGAGGCATAGGAGTGGTAGGACAGGAATTGTAACCGTCGTGACCAGTCTGTCCACCATAAGAAACACCGGACGTTTGAGAGGGAATGTTATTTGGAGGGCCAGTGGTGTTGCCGTATGTGTGTGTCATTGGTGGTCCGTTTGTGTTATTTGTTTTGACGCCCCATACGGTCGTAACGACTGATAATTGTTGTTGAGTGGGACCAACATTATTCTGTTGCTGAGGAGGACATTGGCTTCCCTGTTGAGGTTGAGATTGCCATCCCATTCCTGGTACAAATACCGTATTCATTATATGCTGATCCTATTGATCGTCTTTATCCGCCTCTATCTATGGGCACCTGAATCACGCCTTTAGTGCAACTAATTTCAAAAGACAATTCAAAATATATGAAAATTATTTCATCATATTAGCCATAGTAGCCATTCATTTACAATAATAATAACTATAGTCATGCAAAATACTATCAAAACGAATATATTTCTAAACAAATTAGTTGGTATCATATGATATGATACACATTTAATATTATAATGAATTTGAGTGGTGATAATGGGGAACAACTATGATGGCTATTCATGGGAACGATACTCATTGTAAGCTTAATATTAAACTTAATAATACAAAAGCTATCATTTGGACAATAGTTAGCCATTTGGCACAAAAAATCATCAAAATTAAGTTAAAGACCAAAACAAGTATTTTAAGTTGTCTTTAGAGTGGAACTCACTTTACAGAGATGTTCTGAACAGGTAAGCTCTTAAGCGGCAGCACTGCCACAAAAAGTGTCGGCTCCGAGAGCTTCCTGTATATACAGTCTCACTATAAGTACAATATATATATATATATATGCACTCAGTCTTCAAATAATTACAGACCATTAGAATCAGTGACAAGACTTGAGTTCATTTGTGTTGAAGTTTTCAAAGTTTTGTTACATTTGACTCGTTATAGAGCTATGAAAGGAGTGAACCTTAACATTGTCTCACATTGTCTAACATAGTCTCAGCCATAATCAGGTGTTCACTCATTGACAACAAAGCAATGCATTCGTTTGGAACAATTCAGTGTCGATGGTCTATAAGCGCAGCCATCCATCAGTTTGCCTACCAGTGCCGCCATACAGTACATCACATTTTATAAATAACACATATATTCACTAACTATTATATAAATATTTTGTCTATCATTAATTGACTAACTTAGTTTTTTCTAAATAAATATATAATAATGTAATAAATAACCATGGTCAATATTTAATAATGTTTATAAAATAGTATAATTATATAATGATAAGCTAGGATTGAAAAAACATTTCAAAACAATTTTTATAATTATATAAATATCGGCAAAATGTTTATAAAGTAAATGAACGCTAATTGTGTTCATAGATTGTGTCATCAATGCTATGGATATATGGTATATAAGTTTGAATACATCTAAAACATACAAAGCATAACCATTATAAATGCTGAGACAACTCAACAAAAATATTAACAATATTAACGATAGTATGACTTTATGCATATAATTTAGTGCCCCTTTTCATCTGCTGATCAAATAATAAAAGGCAAGTGAGGGTGAGGTGACGCCACTTTGTTAGTATATATATATATATATAATATAAATTATATATACACTAAATATATATATATATATATATATATATAGTATTATATGATGAGTGTGTGAGCCATCAATTCTTAGCACTATTAGAGAGAAAGTGCACTATTTGTGTATTAAAACCACTGCTTCACTACAGACTCACATAAAGAGTGTTACATTACTTCACAAATCGATAGAATGAATGCCTGAAAATGCATCCAAAGAGAGAGTCATGAAGAGAGAGAGAGAGAGAGAGAGAGAGAGAGAGAGAGAGAGAGAGAGAGAGAGAGAGAGAGAGAGAGAGAGAGAGAGAGAGAGAGAGCACAGCAAACAGCGATTGAATTATTCATCCGGTCATACAGTCATATAGTATAAGTATCAACACTGAAAAGCAATGCAATCTTTTTTTGTCTACCCCTCCCAATGCACATCCCCTCAGCTCTCTCTCTCTCTCTCTCTCGATCCCTCTCTCACACAGTCACTCACTCACTCAATCTCTCACTCATTTATTTACTCACTCACTGACTCACTAGAAATGGGCAAAAGATGTTTACAATAAATTGTATTTCTTTTTCTGCTTTACTCTCTATTACTCTATGATATACTTTTCAATACTATATATATATATCTCAATAAATTTTATGAACGTTTCGCTAGTTTTATGTATGCCTTTCACTATCACTTCAATTACAGTGAGTTACCTAAGAGTTAAACACTAGTGGTTAGCACAGTAAGCATAACTTAGTAAGAAAGGAATGCAGTGAATGGGCACCGACACCATCGATACGGTCAACACGATTGACACCTTTTGAAAGCATCGGCAGAATCGAGAAACAACACCACAACAGATGTACGCCCAACACATTCAATGCAATGAAAACATATACTAAAACACTAATCGTGTATTTTTCACTGTTTTTATGAGTAATTTTTTGTGCAAAAAGCCGACGCAACCGGAAGGAGATAGCAATGAGAGATGACTTTGGACTGGAAATGACTATTATATTAAACTCCAGTGCTTTCAGTGCTTTCTTTGCTTTTGTTCAAAGCTATCCTTCAATATTGTATTCATTGGCCGTTTGTTTGTAAACTACTTATTATTAATATATTGTCATTATATAAACATTTAACGCATACATACTCTACTTGTATACACAAATAATTTAAAGTACAGTATATTGAATGTATATAAATAGAGAGCACAGGGAGCACATTAAGCGTCAATTTTAAGCATAACATCACTTTGACTCGTCATCTGCAGAAAAAGATATATTTAACAACAAATGTCAAGAATGGTGTGACCCCTCCCCTGTCTGTCTGCCCTTTTTTGGTGAAAAATTCATTTTTCCCAATAATTAGTAACAAATTTTTCCGACAAAATTTTTCTAATAAGAGGAACTCTAACCATAGACATGGCATACAATTGGCCATAACTGAGCCATAAGAGGGCTAACTTATAATAATTGAGGTGCACTTTGTTTTGTTTTGAGTATTATTTGGCGCAAAACATCAATTTATTGCTATTGCGGTTAATACATAATTATTTAAGTATTTAGTAGTTTTATGCAATAAGTGTTACAATAAATAATTTGGGGTCAGAAGGGAAGGGATGAGGAAGAAGTCAGTAAAACAGTGCAAAACTATATGCACTCTATGTATGACTTTATGTACTGTAAAGAACTAGTTTTGTATTCAAACCAAATTAAGCCAATTGTTAGTAAACTTTGGTTTCAAATTTATATCGTATCTAATGTTTTACAGTATTAAGGGTTAAGCATTACTTTGAGTATTATTTTGGTTTGAGTTGGTTTGAGGTCACGCTAACAAAAACTTAGGAGACGTTACACTTTTGGCATCACATATAAGATATTCAAGACATGATATATATATATACAGTATATATATACTTCTTGTGCAAAACTCTTGTGCGCATCCAAACAGATCAATACAAACACCATATCTACCAAATATACCACATTTACCATTGACTACACCATACAGTGCTATATATAAAGTGTACTAAATGTACAGTTTGTGTTTGAGTTGAATCTTCAAAGCAAAAGCAAAATATAATCATAGAGTAAACCTAAACTCCAAACGCATAACTTCTTAGTGTTGCAAAGGAAACACTAAGTGAGAGTAAGTAAGTAAATGTGAGCACTGGGAGGGCAGGCATGGCATCAGTTAGGGAATGACAGCATCACTATGTATGTGTGTGTGTGTGTGTGTGTGTGTGTGTGTGTGTGTGTGTGTGTGTGTGTGTGTGTGTGTGAGAGAGAGAGAGAGAGAGAGAGAGAGCTGAGCCAGACCTGAGAGCTAACACTCAATTATAATGTTTTAACAAATATGTGTATTCAGTATATGATATGTAGTTTTTAGTAGTAGTAGTAGTATTGTGAGTAAGTGAGTGAGTGAGACATTGCAACAATTGTATGATTATATGATTTTTTAAATCAAAGAGCGAAAACATGTCAGTGAACACCACAACAAACATATATATATATATATATATATATATATATATATATATATATATATCTTAAGTGAAGAGTTCACCACTAAATTCTTGTGCACAACACTCACATGATATGAGTTTGCGTTGATTTCACCCAAAGTCTCAATCAAAAGACTAGAAAAAATAAAGATATTCAACAAAAGATATATAATAGAGAAATAGAGAGAAAAACTAAAGAAAGAGAGGAGATAGATAAATATATATATATATATATATAGAGAGAGAGAGAGAGAGAGAGAGAGAGAGAGGAGAAGACAAGACATGTTTGGATTAGTGAAGACAAACAAAATTTGAGTAACTTTTGTATTGCATTGCATAGCATTTCATTACATAATATATGTTAAAATACTTTGCGGTCATTTCCTTTCAATCATTTCTCTTTATTTTATTTTTTATTCTTACATAACGTCTTGTCGTTCAACGAACTGTTCTCAACTGTAAGCACTGGTAGTATCGTTGGTTGAGTTAGAGAGAGAGTAAGCCAGAGTCGGGGCTCCACTAGTCTTTCATGTGTAGGTGTTTCTCATTTCATACAAAATGCATCAAATGATAAGTTACCATAAAATCATTGTATTATTAGTTTAAATAACATTTGTAGGCATTTACGTAAAAAGAGACTATTTTTGTATCAGAAGATAAATTCAATGAAACCCCCGTTTGTAAGCGTTTTTACAGCTAAACTCAATACACTATTACCGCTGTATTTCTATTTTGAATCAATATTAGACAACACAATCGATATTAACTCACTTGAGCTCTAATCTGTTAACTTATTTTAGTTAGTGTTTTATATCCAAACAATATTTGTTAATAACTTTTAAATATAATTTTTCCCAATCGCTAAATCTTACATTAATCTTTTCTAATATTTCATCTATTGTTTCAAATAATATTTATATTATTTTTGTTCAATTAGTATCAATAAAATAATAATAAAAACACAAATGGATATATAAAATTGTCATACAAAAAGATAAGTTTAACTAAATTAATTGATTGGATGAGAACAGTAAGTTAAATACAAAATAATTGACATTTCCTAATAGTTTACTATAAACTATTTAATTTAAAATTGAGTCTAATTTCCATTATTTCATTTAATGTATTTTGAGAAAAAAAAACTTTATTCACTATAAATGATGTGAACTTATTGTAGAGTATATCCAGTTTTATGAAGGAAAAGGAGATAACATTATTGTGGTTTAGAGTTTAGGTCACCCAATAGGGAAACAGTGGAACAAA